AGTCTCCAGAGAGACACCATTGCTCTTCAGTACTTTGGAGAGGTCCCTAACAGCAGACTTTCCCATGGCAATGCGCCTTTTAATTTCCTGGCTGCTGGGTGCCAAGACTGTTGACTATGGATCCAAGCAAACTAAAGCTGTGTACAATCTCAATCTCTTCACCATCCATCGTGATGCTGCCAATTGGTCCAGTGGTGAGAATCTTTGTCTTCTTTTGAATTCTACCCATAGTATCCTTAAATATTGCAACTTGAGGCCTGAATGTATTCTTTAGTTCCTTTAGTTTAACAAATGACAAGCAAGTTCGGTTCTTTTGATTTTCCGAATTCAGCTCCTTGCACATTTCATTATAATACTTTGCTTTGTCTTCCAGACTTGCCCTTTGAAATCTCCTGTTGAGCTCCTTAACTCCTTGATTTCTTCCCTTTGGCTTGGCTTCTTGGCATTCCAGTGCAATATTCAGAGTTTTTCTGACATCTGTCCATTTTGGTCTTTTTTTCTTCCTCTGTCTTTTTAATGACCTTTTGCATTCTTGTCGATAATATTCTTGATAACATCCTAGAGCTCATCTGGTCTTCTTCGTTCATTGTGGTTCAAGGCCTCAAACTTGTTCCTGAGTTGGTTTTTAAATTAAATAGGACAGACTCAAGAGGAAAGTTTTATTCCTGTGTATTTGATTAACCTTCTTTAGCTTTATTTTATACTTGCAGAGGAATATTTGATGGTCTGTTCTACTATCAGTACCTGGCCTAGTTTATACTGCTGATATTAAACTTCTCCAATGGTTCCTTCCTTAGATGTAATTGATCTGATTCCTATGCGTACCATCAGGTGAAATCCATGTTTTTACCCGAGTTTATGTTTCTTATAAAAGGTATTTGCAATGAATAAATCATTGTGCAGAATTTTATTATTATATCTCCAGCCTCATTTCTGTCACCAAGTTCTGAAGTGAGCAGAAAATGTGACATGGGCACAGACCTATGAACGTTTCTCTGAAAGCCTATCATGGCCCCAGACCAGAAAGCAGATAGAGTTCGTAACCCCACACCATGCTGCCTAATGGCTAGAAAAGACAACTTTTAAGCTAACACTGCAAGAGCACATGAGGTTTGAAGAACTGGAGATATTATTTACTATTTGTTGAATTTTCTGAAGGACCAGATTACTTCTCTGAGCCTCAATTTCTTCATCTTTAACGTATAAGTAGTAAGGAAACCCAATTTATTGAGTGAAGATGAAATAATGATGTAGATGTGAAATACCTTGCAAACTGTAAGGAATGAGTTACTTGAGAGTTTATGTTATAAAAGATCCTATTGAAAAAAATAATAAAAGATCCTATTGGAAATTAGAGGGTTGGTTGTTTTTTGTTTGTTTGTTTGGGGTATTTTTTTTGTGTGTGTTTTTTTTCTTCCCCCTACGCTGAGAAGCTTTCCTCTTCTTTTACATTCTGTGGAAGGCACAAATGGCTAAAATCCTGAGCAATGGAAAATGCTGAAGGGAAGCATTAACCAACAGAATACCTTAATCAATCAAAAGGGGTGTGTGTGTGTGTGTGTGTGTGTGTGTGTACACGCGTGCGCATGTGTGGTGTGTTTTGTATTTAGTTAGTATATTACAAGGTAGGCCTTGTGAGAAGATGCATATTCTATTCATATCTCTATTGTCTCTGAATTGTTTTGTTTTTAACTTTGTGGAGCCATGACTACCTTGGGAAATCAGTTCTTTCTCATAGCTGACTAATGGAAAAAACTAATCTTCAGACGATATGTTAAAAAAAAGTAATTCAATGCTGGAGAAAGAGTATTTGAGTCTCTGCCTGAAAGGCCATATGTTTTCTCTTCTGGAACCTTTTCTAAGTGCCAGGAAAACTGATGGCTCATTTAGCCTGCAGCCAGTTAGAAGGGGAATAAAGAAGAACAAATAACACAGTGGCCAAGATGGTAACCAGAGAAAGGCAGATTATCCCTCTGTTTATCCTTATCATTACTTAGATGTTGTCAATATATAAGTGTGTTTATGTGACAGTAGGATAGATGTGTGCCTATTCCTCTGTGGAGCCCAATCCTGCTAACCATGAGATCTAATTAACAGGGTTGTTGTTGTTGTTGTGTACCATCAAGTTGGGACAGACTCATAGCTGACTCTCCAGTGGGTATTCAGAGGCTTAAATTGCACCAGACGAGATTGGCCAGCCTTCTCCTGCAGAGCAGCTGGCGTATTTGAACCATGTGCCTTCAGTATTGCAGATTATTATCACTAGGCTAACAGATTTAGATAATTAAATAACTTTGCCTTGTAGAGTGACCTTAATCATGTTTTCAGTTGTAACTCAGTTTTATCACCTATGAGATGCCATAGTCAACTCACACTGTGTATCTCACAGGGTAGTTGTACAATCCTCCAGTAAATCTGTCAAGATTTAGAACAAGGCACCAGAGAGAATCATATTCTTTCATACCATAATCTCTCTGGATGGGAAGATGTGTAGGCAAGAGCAAGAGGCTGTAGGATTGTGATCCAGTGTGTATGAGAAATGTTCCTCCAAAGGAGGAGTGTAGTGTGATTGAATAATGTACTGCCAACTCTCAATTGGCCAATTCCAAGAGGAGATGAGAGAGGAAGAGGGAAGACAGATAATTAAAAGCAAATAAGCCTGATCTTCATTTTCACTGTGGATTTTTGCCTCTCAGGGCTGCATATATATGCACTTGGGAGAGATGGACTAGAGATTTATTTCTTCTCAGGAAGGAGACCTCATGAGTACAGATAAAAGCATGTGACCAATGCCATCCATATCCACACTTTATGCTATTAAACTCACTGGCCAATGGAGATTTGACAGCATTGTTTGTCTTGTGGTGAAATGGAGCTTAAGAGTCAGTGCTATCCTTCTTTACCCAAACCCTCACCACTAGTATGTATGTTTTTCTATAAGTAATATAGATCTGTGGGAGGAGGAAGGGCCAAGCTAGGTAGTCAGCTGTGTGGACTGAACACATTCTTGTTTTGTCTCCTAAGCTGATCACTGGAGATTCCATCGTTAGTGCTGAGGCAGTATGGGATCACGTCACCATGGCCAACCGGGAGTTGGCATTTAAGGCTGGCGACGTCATCAAAGTCTTGGATGCTTCCAACAAGGATTGGTGGTGGGGCCAGATCGACGATGAGGAGGGATGGTTTCCTGCCAGCTTTGTGAGGGTGAGTGTCTGCTTTCACTCTCCTCTCCTCTCTCCTTGGCTATTTACCCCTGGCTTCCAGTCCCTACTCTCCTGCTTATTCCTTTCATAGTGACTCCTCTCACAAATCTCACTCCTCATTATTTTGTTTTCTCTCCTACTTAGAACCTGAGCTTCCTTTCTTTACTTTTTTCCCCTTGCATTTTTAAACTATACTTTGTCTCTTGTTTATTTTTAATAACCCCATAACCCCATATCCTCATCCACTTCAACTTTATATGAATCACTATATTTTTCTTAGTTTTTGCTATGGTTTTTGAGGAGCTCTTCCCTCCTTTATTTTTGTAAACTTTGATTGTAATCTGAATAATAGTTACACAGAAATTGTTTTCCATTAAAAAATGCATATTATCTTTGTTGACATTTATTATAATCCCCACATTGTAGCACCATACTTCCTACTTACTCTCTGTTTTTTGCAATTTCTAAGATCTTTTGAACTCTATATCGATGTGAAGTTTTACCTTTCTTGCCTCTCTATTTTCTACTTTTTTATCCTTTCCCTTATTTTTTTTAAAATCTTTCTTCTTATAGATCTTCTCTATTCTTTTCTCGTCTCATTTCTCTTTTAGGGAAGTATGAACATCCTTATATGTTGTCACAGGTGGAGTCTTCAAATCTTAATATAAGAATGTGAAAGGGAGCTCTGGTGGCCTACTGGCAAGAAGCTACACTGCAATCTTAAAGGCAGGTGGTTCGAATCCACCAGATGCTCTGCTGGAGAAGGAGGGGCAATCTCCTCCTGTGCCAATCGGATCCAACTTAATGGTACATGACAAGTAAAAAAAAAAGAGTAAAAAATAATAATGTGAACTAATTCTCTCCCAGAGGGCAGAATTTACTGGTTTCAGATCCTTCCCTCTCTCCCCCTAAGAGTTGGATAGTTGGGATCTATGATATGCTGAAGACAAAAGACAAGCAACTTGAGAGGTTTAACATGACATTGGTTGTTTTAACATTATGCCATGAAGAACATTGACCTTTACAGAAGGTCATCCAATGGCTTCTATTTCCTCTTGGCTACCTATTGCCTGATTTCTACTGGGGAAGAAGCATTGGTTTGGTATCCCAGCTTTTGGGTTATTAGTGGGAATCAGCTCTTTGATAATTGTGAGCTCTGATTATACTCATTTGAAAAATTATATTATAAATTCTTTCATGCCAAAGATTGTCACAGTAAATGAGATAATATTGTGAAAACTGCTTTGAAGCACAAAAATACCAAAGCCATATGAGATAGGGAAGTAACAGGTTACAGTTCAAGGTCAGGAACCACTCAGCATACAGGGTTTTTGTTGGGAAAACTTCTTGGCTGTACCCACAGACAGGCTTGCTTTTTTTCTTGGCTGTTGAACTCTTTGCTCCTTCTACCCCTTGAGTTGGCCTCTGCTCTGATTGAGAAAATGTTACAAAGTTCTTTAGTTCTGTCAAGGAATAAAATGCCTGAAATCACCTCACTCCATTAACAGGCCTCCTGCCTGAAGATGCTCAGATCTCTTTCTCCGTAGATCAGGAAGCCCCTTGTGCCTCATATTCAAAGAATATGTTCTGCTCCTGTCTCTTCTTTCTTGTTGGTAGTATAGTCTCTCTCTGTTTCTGAGGTTATCTCCCTTTAAGCCTAGGAAGTGCTGGTGTCCTAGTGGTATGGAGTTGCACTGCCACTCAAAATTAGGCAGTTTGAATTCCCAGCTACACATGAGAGAAAGTTAAACAATCTTCTCTTGTGTGATTTACAGATTCTGAAAACCCTCTAGAGGATCAGATAGTAATTCATTCTGACTCAATGGCACATAATAATACAACAACAAGTGTAGTGGAATAGCAAAAGTTGGCCAATCCCTTATTTCAATGGTCTATCTCCTATGTATTTACTTTAGCAGATTATTTGATCCCTGGTTAAGCTTTTGAATAATTTCAGGCAGTTCTTTGCAAAAATTGCACTACCTTTCATGGATAAAAGAATCATTTTAAGTAATTCACTGTGCCGCAGTTAGACATATCAATAACAATAAGGATTTGTAGGAAAGAAGAAGTCCTATCCTGATGTACTACACAGCAGTCAGATTATTTACATCTATGGAAAGAATCACTGGGGAAACTCAATATCACCTTTGAAAACCAGGCCAGATGCTGACTGTGGAACAGACTATTAATTACTCTTGTGCAAGTTCAAATTGAAGCTAAAGAAAATGAAAACAAAAACCAAAATATGGTTTTGTGTCTATCCCACCTGAATTTAAATATCATCTCCAGAAGATGTTTGAGACACTGAACACTAATGCATGAAGGGATGTGCATGATGTTGCGTTGTGGGATGATGTCAAAAATATCATCCGTGAAGAAAGCATTACAGAGACAGAAGAAAGACAAGACCAAGATGGATGTTAGAGGAGACTCTGAATATTTCACTAGAACGCTGAGAAGCCAAAACAAAGAAAAGAAATCAGAAAGTTAAAGAGTTGAATAGAAGATTTCAAAGGGCAGCTTTCAAAGACAAAGCGAAGTATTATAACAAAAATTTCAAAGAACTGAAGTCAGAAAATCTAAAGAGAAGAACTCATTTGGCATTTATCAAGCTAAAGGAACTGAAGAACAAATTCGAGCTTTAACTTCCAATACTTAGAGATGCTATGGGCAGTATACTGAATGATCCAGAAAGCATCAAAAGAAGATGGAAGGAATATACAGTCAGTTTACCAAAAAAGAATTGGCTGACATTGAACCTTTTCAGGAAGTAGCATATAATCAAGGATATACAATCAATAATAAAACAGAGGAAGTTCAAGCTGCTCTGAAAGAATGGATTGGGGGAAAGCCCCAGGAATTGATGAAATACCAAAAGAAATACAAACAGATACAGCCCTGGATGGGATCACCAGATTCTGTCAAGAAATCTGGAGGACAACTACACTGCAAACTGACTGGAAGAGATCCATATTTATTTCCATTCACAAAAGTGATCCTACAGAACGTGGAAATTATTGAACAATATCACTAATACCACATGGAAGCAAAGTATTGTTGAAGATTATCCAAAAACAACTGAAGCCATAGGTAGACAGAGAACTGCAAGAAATACAAACCGGATTTAGAAGAGGCCATGGCACTAGGAACATCACTGCCAATGTCAGATGGTTCTTGGGTGAAAGGAGAGAGTACCAGAAGAATGTCTATTTGATTTTTATTAACTATGCAAAGGCATTTGACTGTGTGGATCACAAAAAAAAATTGTGACTAATATTGAGAAGAATGGGAATCCTAAAACACTTGGTTGTGCTCATGTGGAACCTATACTTAGACCAAGAAGCTGCACAAAGCAGGGTAACACTGTGTTGTTCAAAAACAAGAAAGAAGCACGTCAGAGATGTATTTTTTCTCCATACCATTTCAATCTAAATATGGAACAGATCATTTGCTAAGCTGGACTTTATGAAGAAGAATGTGGCATCAAGATTGGAGGAAGATTCATCAACAACATGTATTATGCATATAATACAACCTTGCTGACCGACTGAGAAGAACTTGAAGTGTTTGCTGCAGAAGGTCAAAGACTGAAGACTTCAATGTCAATTACATCTCAAAATAAAGAAAACAAAGATCCTCACTATAAGGCCAATAGGAAGTAGCATGACAGATGGAGAAAGGATTAAGGTTGTTAATGATTTCATTTTGCTTGGATACACAAGCAAAAATCTTGGCACCAGCAGTCAAGAAATCAATAGATGAGTTGCATTGAGAAAATCTACTGTTAAGGATCTCTCAAGAAATCTAAAGAGCAATGATGTCATTAGTCTAAAGTGTGCCTGATCCAGGCTATGATCTTCTCAAATATTTGTTATGCATCTGAGAGCTGGACAGTGAATAAACAAGACAGAAGAAGAATCAATGTCTTGAAGTTGTGGTGTTGGAGAAGAGCATTGAACATACCAAGGGCTGCTAAGGGAACAAATAGGTCTGTCCTGGAGAGGGTGAAACCGACTTGCCCTTCGGAGGCAAGGATTTTGAAGCTCCATGTCACATACTTTGGACACGTCATCAGGAGGGACCAGTCCTTGGAGAAGGACATAATATTTGGAAGGGTAGATGGTCAATGCAGAAAAAGAAGACCCTAGATGAGAAGGATTGACACAGTGACTGTGGTAATGGAGTCAGGTGTATAAAGTGACAGGGACAGTTCACTTGGCTCAGTATAGGGTAAGGGTCAAAGCCATTGTTTGTAGGGTTGCTATGGGTCATTGTTGACTCAACAGCAAATAATAACAGCAACATACAGAAACAACTTTAATCCCTTGTGCTAACAACTCACTTTTTAAAAGAATGGCTAAATTATACCCAGTCATGCTTGCTGCAGAAGATGAAAGAATACAACCTTAAATATGGATTGCAGCTCAACATCAAGAAAATAAAAAATTCTCACCACCGAACTAATAGGCAACATCGTGACAGATGGTGAAAAGTTTGATACTGTCAACAACTTCATCTTACTTGGATCCACTATCAAGATCCTTGGTACCAACAGTCATAAAATCAGGAGACATATTGCAATGGGAACGTCTGCAGTCAGGGACCTCTCCAAATTATCTAAGAATGATGATATCAATTTGAGGACTGTAGTGTACCTGATTCAGGCCATTGTCTTTGCAGTCACTTGCTATGCATCTGAGAACTAGACAATGAAAAAGGAAGACAGAAGAATTGATGCCTTTGAGTGGTGATGTTGGGGAAGAGTGCTGAAGTTTCCATGAAATGCCAAAAGAACAAACACATGTGTTTTATAGACGTTTCAACCAGGGTGCTCCCTGGAGGCAAAGATGATAAAGCTTCATCTCACATACTTTGGGCATGTTTCCAAGAGAAATTATTTCTTGGAAAAGCATATCATGCTTGCAGAAGTGGAGGGCCAGTGCAAGAGAGGAATTTCCTCAACCAGATGTATTGACACGGTGACTCGCATGGCCTCAA